AAAGGGATTTGGGAGTGCTAGTTGATAACAGCACAATATGAGCCAAAGGTATGCCCAGGTGGCCAAGGAGGCCAATGGCATCTTGGCCTGTATCAAGAATAGTGTGTCCAGCTGGACTAGGGAAGTGATCATCCCTCTGTACTTGGCTCTGATGAGGCCACACCTCGAGTGCTGTGTTCAGTTTTGGGCCCCACAATTTAAAAAGGACATTGAGGCGCTGGAGTGAGTCCAGCAAAGGGCAACGTGGCTTGTAAAAGGTCTAGAAAACACGGTCGTGTGAGGAAGAACTGAGGAATTGGCTTTGTTTAGCCTTGAGAAGAGGTGGCTCAGGGGTGACCTCATCACCCTCTCCACCTACCTGAAAGGGCGTTGTAGAGAGGCAGGGGATGGTCTCTTCTGCCATGCCTGCAGTGAGAAGACTAGCAGGAACAGTCATGAGCTGAGAAAGGGCAGATTCAGATTAGATGTTAGAAAAAACAAATTTTCGCAGGTGGTCAGGCTTTGGAATAGGTTGCCCAGGGAGGTGGCAGAGTCACCATCCTTGGTGGCATTTAAGAGGTGTCTGGATCTGGCACTGGGTAATATGGTTTAGGGGTTATAGTGGTAGTGCAAAGTTGATGGTTGAACTTGATGATCTTAAAGATCTCTTCCAACCTTGATGATTCTAAGTTTTCCTTCTTTTTCTGCTCGTGTTACTCCTTATTCAATATGTCTAGGATACTCCATTCTTAAGAGCTTAATTCCTTTAAAGTCAGCGTAAAACTTCTCATTTTATTAGGGACAGTGTTACCTTCAGGTGTTCGCTGAATCAGCGTAAAACTTCTCATTTTATTAGGGACAGTGTTACCTTCCGGTGTTCGCTGAACTTTTTTTTTTTTGGTTGGTTGGTTTTCCCCTGACAAAATTCAAATAAGTTAATCAAAGAAATGTTCTGTGAAAGTACAATATGAAGATTGGAGGAGTGACTAAGCATTGTGGGATTGGAGAACTGTATTTGCCTATGGTTCTTGCAGCAAATTCTTTTCCCCTGGAAGCTGGGAAAAGATAGACTGTGTCTTTTCAGCCTTTTTTTTTTTTTGGTTGGTTGGTTTTCCCCTGACAAAATTCAAATAAGTTAATCAAAGAAATGTTCTGTGAAAGTACAATATGAAGATTGGAGGAGTGACTAAGCATTGTGGGATTGGAGAACTGTATTTGCCTATGGTTCTTGCAGCAAATTCTTTTCCCCTGGAAGCTGGGAAAAGATAGACTGTGTCTTTTCAGCCTTTTTTTGAACTTGCAGCAAATTCTTTTCCCCTGGAAGTTGGGAAAAGGTAGACTGTGTCTTTTCAGCCTTTTTTGAACTTAAAAGTTTTTAACTTTAACTTGGTCTTATTGCATTACATCTTTGAACTGTTGCACTACAGATTGTCTCGTGTTAACGTATTCTAATTCTGGTGTTATTTCTTAATGTGTTTTAATTCTCGTGGGTTTTCCTACTGCTTTATGGGGAAAGAAAGAGAGGGAAGAGTGGCAAGCAGTGGTGTGTTCCACAGCTTTCTCCGCAGTATGAGTGTAGTTCATTTGCAGTTCTTGGGAAAGGCTGGAGTTTGGAACAGTTGCATGTCCATAATGAATCAGTATAAGCATGACTCAATGGAAAACAATCAGCATTGGCTGAGGTAGCCTAGGATGTTAGTCTTGCAAATTGAGAATCTGGGAAGCTGATTTCATATAGCCTTGCAAAACTCCTATCAAAAATTACTAGCCCGGATGAAGGATTTACTTGCTTTTCTCTTTTCTGTTTTGACAGTAATGATGATACAATGCATGAAATTTCACTGGTATATTCAGGTATAAAATAATTTACTTCAGTTGAGCCAGATCTTTGCAATCCAATCCAAGCTGTATTGATAATAATACAAGTGATACTTTATAAAGGTGTGATCGATCACACAATAGTATGACAAGGAGATAAGCAGTGAGGATTTAGACAGGAAATGGAATTTCTGCTTGAGTAAACTAGAAAGCAAAATGTTCTTTGGCTTTCTATCAAACCTGATTTCATTGATCATCAGATTTTAATTTCATCTAAAGCTTACATACATGCACACATGCATCTCCTTTCCCCTCCCTCCCATCCTGTTTTGTGTATCTGGGTTTTTTCTAGTACAAATCCCCACATGGCAACACCTGCTGGGAGAGGCTGGCATGGGAACACAAGTAAATTCCTTAAGGCCATTGCTTGTTAGTGCCTGTTCTTGATTCAAGTTGTGCCAGTAAAGAGAGAAGTGTTTCACACCTTTTCCTGTAAGTCTCTTCTGTGTCTTGTCAGAGGGTGCTCACCTTCACTGAGGGGAGTACAATGGAAGATTTGTTTCTGTTGTGTTCGGGTTTTTGGTGTTTTGATTTTGTGTGTGTGTGTGTGTGTGTGTGTGTGTGTGTGTTTTGTTTTGGGGTTTTTGTTTGTTTGAGGTTTTGTTAGGGTTTTTTTGTTTTTTACTCTCATGCCAATGCTTTAACCATGAAACCTCCATTAACTGATCACATGCAGTGAAAGGACAGTAGCATGAGCTTTGGGTATACAGTAAAAAAGGAGGTTTTGTGACAGATCTTTTAAACTTTGGCCATGGTGTGGTCTGCTTTCTGCTTGGCCAGCTCTGCACAGGAAGCTGATATAATTTACCAGCAGCTACCACGGGATGTCCTGAAATTAGATGCCTTCCGTGTACAAATAAGCATTGCAGTCTTCCTATTCCCTTTCATAGGAATATGGATTGGAGGCCAAAAGAACACACATGTGATACGACCTCTTTGCATAATGTGGACTGTTACAGTTCAGCCTTTTTTCTTTTTTTCCTCTCTGCATGGTCACTAACTTTTAGCTAGCCAGAACACATCGAGATGTATCTTCCATGTAAAGGCTGGAGTGTTGAAGGCTTTCCTATGTCTCTAAACAGGTTGTTCTGTAGTCAATTATGTATTTAACCACTTCCTGTATAGTATATTAGGAGGTGGTGTAGGTCAGGAGTTAATGTAGCAGTTCTGCAATGCCAGTCTTTACACTTTAATCTGCACTAGCCAGCAAGGTGGAATTGATATAAACAGTCTCATTTTATAGCAAAGTCCTGACAAATGAGTCTAGATAACAGTAGTATTTTTCTAGAACGTGAAAAAAGGGATTAATCTTTGTGGCTTATGGAATTATATTCCTTTGTTTAGCCCTGTCTTTGCTAACAATAATGTAAATGTAGAAAATATCTTATATTTTCAGAGGATTCTATATAAATTTGCATGTCATTATGGAGAGCAGGGAAGTTGTAGATAATGAATATGTTATAACGAAGTTACATTTTAAGAGGAAGTAGCAATCTACCTAAAATTCTTCATTTAAATTTCAGTTTCATCCACTCAGTGTAACACAACACTGGAGAATTTTACTATCTAAAACAGTTAAAATCAAAGCTTCTGAACTTCTTATTCATCATTAGCTCTTTGTCTAGGGAAAAAAAAATCAGTAGTATAAGAAGAAAGAATAAAACTGGTTGTCTGATATCATCACCAGCTTACTTAACTATCTGATCTTTTTAGTTATAATTTGCTTGGGTTTTATGTATTTGAAAAGATGTGAGAAAACTTGCACAGAATGTTTCCAGTGGCCTTCCTACGTGTTTACCATGTCCTAATCTTGCGTACTGCTGTTAGTATGGGCATATTCATCTTTTACACTCAAGTGCTTGATCCAGTTTTAGATGTGAAAAGAATTTGCTGAAAATAGTGGAGTGAAGGAAATGTCCTGAATTTTCATCTCCTTGGAGGCAGATCTCCCTGGGTGGCTGCAGTCTCTAGTTGCTGTTTCTCTATGAGCTGGATGTAAGTCAGCTCCAGCCTGGCCATGGAGTAACCAATGGCTCAGAGCTGTGCCCAACTGAAGAGCAGCATCTTTCTGCTGAAGAATTTGGGCAGCAAACAGCTTGTGAATTGAAGCTGCATACCAGTTAGGCAACCCTGAACCCAAGCATACTGACAGGAGAATTGCCCATCCAGTCATGGCCTGGGGCTGTCTTGGTGACAAAAGGAGCAGCATATATGCCTTCCCCCAACAAGGAATTAAATTGTCCAGTGATTGCTGATTACAAGTTAAAAAGTCATTTAACCGCAGAATTAAGGAATAAACATAGGACAAGAATGAGTAGACTTTGTTATAAATCTGCCCCTCTTAAAAGTCTGTACTAAATCAAATTCAGCCAAAGCTAAATTTGTGCTTTTTACTGGTACAGTTGATTTGACAGAAATGAGGGCAGCAAGTCTCTTTAGTTGGGCTCCTAATGCACAGCACCTAGCTCCATATTTTTGTCATCAGAGTGTCGTCACATTCAGTTCCTCTTGGTTTAAATTACTTTATGTTGCTTTTTCTTAAGCATCTAAGTAAGTAATCCATTGACTACATGATTTGTTTTCTTAAGCATCTAAGTAAGTAATCCGTTGACTACACGATTTGTTCCACATCTGAAATATTTTGTCTTAATCAGCCACTGGAAAGAAATCAATGCTGCTCTGTGAGAACAGACTGTTGGTGAAGAGTGAGTGATGCCTCAGCTGTGGAACACTTCTTTACATGTGTCTTGAGGGCAGCACTAGTCACACTCTGAAGATTAGGCAGAGTTGGGGCTGTAGTTGCTATAGTAATTAGAAATATGTGTAGTTTTAGTTGCTGCTTTTGTAGGTTTGACATGGTCTTTTCCATAATTTGCTTTCTGTTGTTGACTGGTTGGTTTCACTTCTTGCTTATAAGAATAACTGGGAAAATATCTTCAAAGTAAGAAAACAAAGTTTTTGAAAAACGATAAAAATTGGCTGGGGTCTGGATTGCAGGAGGATGTGAAATAACTGAAAAAGCTTTAAACTTTTGTTCTGAAATTGACTCAAGTTCACAGGGTCCTTTTAATCTTTCAGACAAATCTCTCAAACAGAAGCAGCAGACAAATGTGAGCCCGCAGCACTTTAATTTTTATCAGATCAGTTGAATGCTGCTTCAGTACAGGATGTAATCAAGTATTACAGCTATACTCTTCCCAGGAACTCCTTATTTTCTTTTTTCGCTTCATCTTTAATCTGAAGTTCAATAGCTTTTTTTTTAATCACAATTCTGATTTTGAGCTGTACAGCACCCACATGGTATCTCCCTCTCATGCTGAGTATATGTTTTTGTGTCAATGCTGTAATCCCTAGGTCTCTACAGATATTTAGCATTGTTACATACCATCTACCTTTTAATGCCTTTGAGAGTGGGGGTTTTTTACATAAAAGGTGATAGCTACTTGTATAGTAGTGCCAGAATGAATTTTAAGTTATTTGGTGATTGTGGCATGATTCAAAGACACCGAGAAATTATTTCAGACTTAATTTATGATATATAAGGATATTTAACCACTCAGACTATTTTGCTGGGCACCAAGATACCCTGGATGTCTCAAAATCAAGTAGAAAAGTCTGTCTATAAGAAATACAGTCAGAAGACAGTTCAGGGACATTGTGTAGCCTTTGCAGCATAGGACATCAGACTGGATGACAAAAATAGTCCTTTCTTGCCTTATGACCTACATAAGGTGTTACGTTTTAAGAACGCTTTTGTTTTTCCCCTGAGAGAGGGACCACAAAGATCATGCTGAGCTGAGTAACAGTGGGAGATTGCAATCTGGTTAGTGCTGCTGTTCTGTGTTCTGCTTTCAGGGGCTGGAAAGTCCTTGACGTGCACCAGTCCTACCTCCAGTTTCACTGTGGTTTCTACAGCTGATGAAGGATTGTCCTGAACTTTTCTGATTTGATGCTAGAACATGCGTTGTTACTCATAATGAATATAGTGCTTTAGACTGAGTAACAGTGGGAGATTGCAATCTGGTTAGTGCTGCTGTTCTGTGTTCTGCTTTCAGGGGCTGGAAAGTCCTTGACGTGCACCAGTCCTACCTCCAGTTTCACTGTGGTTTCTACAGCTGATGAAGGATTGTCCTGAACTTTTCTGATTTGATGCTAGAACATGCGTTGTTACTCATAATGAATATAGTGCTTTAGATGGGAGCTTTTTAAGGCTTGTTTAGTGAGGGCTAAAATGAAAATAATTTTTTTAAAGCCACCTTTTTGAAAAGTTAATTGTAGCAGTGGTGGTGACAAGTAGCACCAAATGTAATCGTTTTTCTTTTCAGATGACATCGTGAAAGTTACACAGGATTTTTCTCACTGCTGATAAGTGACAGAAATAGCACAGCAGTGATTATTCTGTATCTCTCTATTGTTTCAGTCCGGGAGAGATGACAATTCGGAAACAGGAGGGAAGCAGGACTACCCCATGTCTTGTATTTTAGAAACTGCCACTTGTAAAATGCACAGTAGTACAGTATTATGCAGTTAAGTAGCAGGCAGCGAGTCGTGAGAGGGTTTCTGCACACCTGCTCCTCCTGGAACCACATTTTCATAGTTGGGATTTTTTCTTTTGCATTCAGCAGTAAATAAGGCAGGGAGGGCATGCATTGTATGTATGCAAAGTGTTTCAGCTGTGATGGAATGGGTTCAAGAGAGGGGTTAACTGGAGTGAAGGAAGCTAGCAAGACTCAGTAATGTGGTGAAATCGAGGCAATCCCTTGTTATCAGCATTTTATCAACAATGTAACCTTAAATATTCAATTCATCACTTCTTCATCACTTTAATGTTTATCATGATCCTTTAATACCTTGGTTGATTAGATCTATAAGCTGCTGTAATACAAAGAACCTTGCCCAAGGCAAGTTAGAAGAAAAATTAGAGGAGGAGGGGGGAAAAGCCCAACATTGATAAAAGGGTTAATTAAGTGAATTGCAAGGGAAGGTAATATTTGCTTTTTTACAAGAGGGGTAATTTTATGTTTAGCACAATTTGAAAATGGTGTGTAACCCATAACTGACTTGGAATATTACTCATGAGGGCAGAAAATAAAGTTCTAAATAACATATGTAAAGCAAATAACTTACCGATACAGTATGTTAGTAATTTTAGGTATGTTTTTGAAGTATTGCTTGATATCAATTTTAAAAAGTTATTAAAAAATGTATGGTGATTAGAAACTATGGCAGGGGAAAAAGGTTTTGTGGTCTTCCAGAGCTGACTGTACTAAGGCACAGTTTGTTGTAGTTCTAGTCATGCAAAACCTTAGGTGGGAATTTAACATAAATGTACACTTAAGGGAGGTATTTACTGGACTGGGTAACATGCATTGATGTAGCATATTGAGCTAACAATACCTATGAATATTGAATTCATTCACTTTAAAATCTCTGCCTGAAGAGTCATTGTAATCAGGCCAAAATGTTTTAAAACAATCATAACGTTTAAAAACAACTGAAGTGTTTTCAAATTGGGCAAAACAAGGCAATGTTTTCAGTTAATACACATTTCCCGTTTGCTTCTTAATGGGTAACAATGTTTATTGTGAATTCAAGGTACTGATTGAAATTTAGGGAGAGCAGTGTGGATAAATGGCCAGAATGTAAAACCGAGATTGATGATTTAGGAAACAGAAGATGCTTTTCTTTAGCTTTTTTGGTCACTACTTCTGCCATTTGTATGTCAAGTTTAATTACCAAGTAAACTGTTGGCTCTTTTTTGTGGTGGTCTAGTGCAGTTAGTTTTCCATTTGTATTTCATGAGAAAATGCATACACATTTCTCCTGTGTAAGTTTGATTGTACTTAGCTGACAGAAAATACTCAACTGGAATCATTACTTGTTCCATTTAAACAAAAAAAAATATCAAGCAAACTTTCCCATATTGTATTTATTTACAGATCTGCAATTATGTTGGACCTGCAAAAGTCATCGTCCAGTTAGTAACTAATGGGAAATATGTCCACTTACATGCTCACAGCTTGGTGGGTAAATTTTGTGAAGATGGAGTGTGCACAGTTAATGCAGGACCTAAAGATATGGTTGTAGGGTAAGTCTGTCAACTCATTTGTGGACCTGAGCTATGGGGGAGAGGATCAACACTGTAAGAAGCAATGCAGAAATACTACTAAGGCAGCTACGTGAAGTACTAGTTTTCACACTCTGATTGGTGTTTTGTTTTTATCTTAAATAGAAAAATTAATGGGGTTTCTGTTTACCTTTGTAAAATTTGTCCTGCGCAAGCTAAATAGGTTTAAGTAAACAATTTTCACTTAGAATTTGTAGAGTGTGCATCTCTTGGTGTGCAGTCCAAATTTGTATTGTAAATCCAGTCTTTAACACATAAGTAGTTTTGATCAAAGAAGGGACTAAAATTACCAAGAAAACCCTTTTGGTACCATTTTGATCGATTTTATACTGTTGCTGTAATCTGCCAATAGGAATATAATGAGGAGAAAAGCATTAAGAAAGTAGGATTAGTAAATTTGAAATTAATGCACGGCACGTATAAACATGAAAAAACTAAATGAGTCAAACTCTTAAAGTTTAAAGCAGTAAGATTGTAGTGAAATTGTAGTTGGTCTGTTCTTGTTTAATTTAAAAGAATAATTGTTTATATCAGTAAATGCAGCTGAGACTCCTGACTCTGTTTTCAGGCTTAGATCAGGTTTCATGCTGGCTGTGAGTTTTAGTTCTGTGATCTCAAGAATGTCTTTGTTGGTGAAGAAGATGAAGTTTAAAAAGCTGAGAAGGTTGGGAGAAAGATTCTTTTAAACTGTAACTTTTGATGTCCAAGCCCAGTGCACTGACTTTACTAAGCACAACAATTTAAATAGCTTTATTTCAAATGCTCCTTTTCATCTTGAAAAGTTTGGCTCATTTTCTAACCTGTCTTGTTTTTCATCAGATGTTTAGAAACAGCTTTCGTATCCTCACTTGACCCACATGAAAATTGAGTTATTGTCTTGTTTTTTTTACTTCCAGATCTAATTGATTTTTAAATGTGCCAGGTTGATTTTTACAAAAGCAAATCTTATATTCGGAAGTTTTTGTTCAAATAGATACCTGAAGTGTCTTGCTGGATGACCAGAGCCTTGCTTAAAACATTTCTTTGGAAAATATTGTGCTGTTCTTAGCTTGCTCTCCAAACCATTTTGAACAGATGAAGCTTATTCTGAGCAGCTGCTCTGCTTAACAGACACAGAGAACGACATATTAATATAATTACCAAGACAGAGCAAACAAAGTGTGACAACCAGATTTCCCAGTGTTTTGTAAGTTGCTTTCACAGTGTAAATCTCAAACGTGACAGATTGCTCACTTATGCCATGGGAGAATCCTGTGCACCCATATGATTGCTACCATGTAATGGTGCAAATTTTACATGTTTTGTAAACTTGGCTGAATTTTTCTTGATGGAAAATTTGCCCTTAAGAAGTAATAGTGCCTAAGTCAGTCTTATAGAGTCCTTCTGCTGACTTCAGTTGTGCAGCTGTCTCTAGTAAGAGGAACACTGCCTGCTGCAGGTTTGGCATAAAGCATTAAGAAAATACCTCGATCAAAATTCCGCAGGTTTGCAAATCTTGGCATCCTTCACGTCACAAAGAAGAAAGTGTTTGAGACTCTGGAAACACGCATGATAGATGCTTGCAAGAAGGGATACAACCCAGGACTCCTGGTGCATCCTGAGCTGGGCTACCTGCAGGCAGAAGGATGTGGAGACAGACAGCTCACTGGTATGTTGAAATGATGGCTTGGTTTTGATTGGTCTTTTACTAAAAACAGGTTGAGCTTCTGAAAACACAAATTTTTAGCCAGAACAAGGCCTTGGGTAGGAAAACAGCCTATGTGGCTATGTGCTTTAAGAGGTGGTGTGTTGTTGCTGTGTTTTGGGGAACATGAAAGAAAGTCTTTGCTGTCAAGACACACATGAGAATGCAGCAACTTCCTCTCATAGCTGCCTGTACCCACCTCTGCACCTATATTCCTTTGCTTTTATGCTGTTTAATAAACTGTTAAATAGAGTCATTTTGCATTACTGCAGCAAACCATGAAATCCTTAAGTAACTTAGGGACCTCCTTTTGAGTACACTGTTTCATTCAGCTGCATTTCACCCATATCCCTGTAAAACCTGTGGTCTGTGTTGGTTTCAGGTACTGTATAGAGGGATCAGCCTTCTTTCTATGGCACTTAATGCCAGGAACTCAGATGTGGTGCCCTTTGTCCTTTTTGCAACCTTTATAAATTGAGAGCAGCAAATAGTAATTTTCTGGCTGTCCCTTAATGATATCCCTTATCTTATATAAGATCTGATGCACAAACTACAGAACGAATGCAGTAAAATTTTGAATAGCTGCTCCTCTCTGCTTAAAAAGAGAGAGCCTGCTGGATACTAAATGTAAAAGAAAACATTTCCTCACTATTGATGTCTTTGGATAGTTATGTTTGTTCTCTCCGTTTCATTACGAGCCCCCTACCCCTTGTGTTAATTCCTCTGCCTCCTTACCCGTTCCAGAGCGAGAGAGGGAGATTATTCACCAGGCAGCAGTACAGCAGACTAAAGAGATGGATCTCAGCGTGGTGAGGCTAATGTTCACAGCCTTTCTCCCTGACAGCAATGGCAGTTTCACACGGAAACTTGATCCTGTTATATCAGATGCAATATATGACAGCAGTAAGTATATTTGGCTTTAATTGCTTTTTTTTTAACAAAGGGCAAGCTTTTGTACATACAAAAATGTTGGGGAGATATTGCTATGCGTAGACTGCTCTAGCCCAGCTGCTTGCCTGGTATGTAATCCATAACAATTAAGTAGCCCATAGATAATTAGCCCCATGTCTGTCCAAGTACCTCTGATATCATTCTGGTTTTTAATAGATGGTGATGTAAGCCATAGAAGAAGATTTTATTTTGCTGTTAACATGTTTAATCCTGCCACTTTTATTATGAGGATTTTGTGAATTCTTATTATATTCACAAGAGGGACCTGAATTTTGTGGTTGCTTTCTGTGGCAAAGCCTTGTCACACAAGATATGATGAAAAAATTACTTTTCTTCAATCTTTGTTGAGAATTTGACACCCTTCAGTTTTGCTGACCATCTGCCGGTCCTTGTTTTGAGAGACTAACACAACCAGTGTTTTCAATCCATTTCCTTTAGATAATCAGTACTTCTTATACTTCTGTTACATCCCTCTATTTGTCTTTTTTCTAAGTGAATCTTTTCACTTCATGTTTTCCCTTGTGCTTTTCGATCATACTGACTCCTCTTACCTGAACCCTTTCTGCTGCCTGACTTCCTCCCTGAGGCTGTGGATTGCCATGCTCCTCATAGTCATTCTGTAATGACACAGAAAAAGTACCTTTTTTTCCTTTGTGCAAGAGTCATTATCAAGGACAAAGTCTAGATGGAAAGGTTTTAACTGCAACTATTCTACTATAGTCTATTCCTTGCTATTGAGAAATATAGTGGCATCAAAAATTCTGACTTAAGCTAAGGAGACAAATAAAGGGGAAATTTTGTATGCATGCTTCTGCTGTTGTAAGTTGCTACACAGGTGTCAGTAACTTTTCTGGTCTCCCAAGGTGAATTCTTGGTGGTTATTTTCAGGAGATTTTTCTTGGGTTTGAGGTTGTTTTTTTTAAATAATCCTCTTTGGGGTTTGAGGTTGTTTTTTTTAAATAATTCTCTTCATTGGCACTATTCAAGCCTATTTTGCAGAACAGACATATCTTGTGGTAGCATAATTGTCTATCTCAGCTGCTTTTACTCATCAGATAACAGTTCTGCCTTGAGGACCAGTAGTTGTCTGTTGTTGCCTCTCTTGGAGGTGAGCTTGTTTTATCACTGTTCAGTATGCTGACCAAAAGCTGACAATGCTTTCAAGTAAGCCAGGGTGTGAAGCAAAGCACTATATACAGGGAACTGCTCTCAAGAGCATCACACTGTCAGAAAGCAGGAAAAAAAAGTGTTATCTTGTCATAAAATTAGTACTAGTACATGATGCTGGATGCAGTCCACTGGTGTGCTACTTTGCTAGTGGAGTAGTAGTGCTGGAATTGCCAGGGACTTATTTTTTAGTTCACAGTTCAGTCAAAGCTTAGAGGATACAAGATTATGCCTTTCAGATGAAAACCTATTGATTTATTCATGTTTAAAAAAACATGGGCAAATTTAGGTAGGTTGTATTGGAAGTTTGTCATTCCATTGCATTTCTGTGTGTTGTGGTTGGGTTTTTTTTTTCTTTAAAAAATGTAAAACTGTTATGAAGGTAACCATTTTTTTTAATCTTCCCTTTAAATAGAAGCTCCAAATGCCTCCAACTTAAAAATTGTAAGAATGGACAGAACAGCAGGGTGTGTGACAGGTGGGGAAGAGATTTACCTTCTCTGTGACAAGGTTCAAAAAGGTAAGAGTCCTGAGTATTGTAGGGCACACCAGGGTGTTCATCTGGAGTGCAAATGTAGCCTGCTGTGCTGCCACTCTGATAGTGCAGCAGGATTTGTAAGCACTGATTTTCTGGAAGTCAGGCCAGCAGTCCAGAAATGTAATAAACCAAAATAGTCAGTTGCAAAGCAAATTCAGCTCGTGTTGCTTCCACAGAGACCATGTGATCATCTTTATTCTCAAATTTCTGTCCGTGCCTGTGTTCTGGATTTATTTTGGTGGTGGTGGGTCCTGGGTGATGTTTGAGTACATTAACTAACACCTGCTCTCAATTATTCTAAAGTCTCTGATTTATTATAAAGAGTATGAGCATTCTCTGTTAACCACAGATGGGAACTGAGTGTATTCAGCACTGCTGCTAGAAACTTCATTTTTATGGCAATGCTAATGCTAGAGATTACTCAGTGTAAACAGATACTTTTCAGGGGTTAATTTTCAATCTCTGCTCATGGCTATGAATGTGTCAAAATTTGGCAGTGTGGAGTTGGATGCTTTGTTTTTGTATAGGAAGATAATGGTTAATGTTGTTACTTGTATTTGGGCTAAACTAGAAATAAAAAAATGGGAGTGAGGAAAATCCTTTGCATTTTTGGGCTGTAGGTAGTACTTGAGACTCTCTGGTATAGACTGCATGGTGGAGTGGGTGCTCTGTTCTCATCTGTTTGGAATTAGTCACTGCACATATTGTTAAAATCACACTGACATTTCCTGTTAGTGCAGGCTGTCCTTTTCCATCTCTCTTTCTTGTAAATGCCCTTTTATCACTTAGGAAAGAGAGAGCACTTTGGGAACTTTTAGGGACTTTAAATAAACTGTTTTCCCTCAGTAATGTATCTACCCTTTGCCAGGAGAAGGACTGAGATGAAACATAACTCTTGTGCCCAAAATAAATAAATAAATGCCAGGCTCAGTGGAAGCCCTGAGGTGTGGGGTTTCCCCTAGCCAAACTGGGGTTTCCCCTGACCTCACTGCTTTCAGAAACCTCCTGCCTGAAGGAACTTGAGCATGCAGGACAGCAGGACTGGAAGTGGTGGTTCACAGCCCAGAGACTAGCAGGTGGTGTGTCAGAGGAAGCAGTCTGTCTGCTCCAGAAGCCTGTCCTGCATCAGTCACCCTAAGAGAGAATAGGCTTTTTTTCTAGTTGATTTTTTTTTTCCCACCAGGAGTGCTGGGGAAGGAATTTGTTAGTGCAATTCATCTCCTAAAAATATAAATAAATCAATACAAAAAGAATGCAAGGAAATTTGTTTAGAGGAGCAGAAGCCAGATGAGATGTTTGTGTCCTGTACTGTGCTTGGAAGCTGAAGGATCACTGCTGGTGCTGCTCCCTCACACCCTCAGCGTCTCTCTTGAGCTGCAGCTCCAAAGTGGCACTTTGCCAGCAGCAAGCAGAACTTGAACTGTGGCACTTCAAGTTTTGCTACAGTTTTTTGAACCGAAACTGTTGGAGGAGAGAGGGTGGTTTCTACATTACACGCTTCAAGTTCTCCCCTCCTTACAAGTTTGTTCCAAATAAAGCTCCTCTGGAATGTTTTACAGCCCTAGAATAGGAAGAGGTAGTGAACCTTAGTTCTCTTTTTACAACTCAGTAAACAGCAACTTCAGTGAAGTCATTAGAATTAGGCTGACCTAAAATTGTGTAAAGAATGGGTTATTTCTGCTGTTTTCAAAAAATGGTAATAGATGTATTGTGTAATGTTGTCATCCAGCCAAAGAGTAACCATGTTGACTTTTATCTGAAATAAACTTAGCCAAAGGTTAATCAAATGCACAAACATCCCAAAGGTTAAACAAATGCATAAACATCCCAAAAAGTGTTTCTTTTAATCCTTTGCAGACGATATTCAAATACGTTTCTATGAAGAGGATGAGAATGGTGGTATGTGGGAAGGCTTTGGAGATTTTTCTCCTACAGATGTACATAGACAGGTAAGTAAATAGAGCACTTGTCACTTGTTAATGTTTTCCTTATCTCTGTAAAATAGGATTATATTATACTTTGGGAATTATGTGAAAGCATCTGTATCCCATACTGACCTCTTCTTTGGTTGGTTCCAAGCAATAATACATACTTAACAGTTCTTTAAAGATATACATTAGGCAGGTTAAGAATACAGTGTGAGGAAATTGGGAGATAGCCCCATTGCTTTAACATGCACCAGTGTAAATTGGAATAGCTCTGATAGCTCCTGTGAACACACTGAGAAAGCACAGAATAGGTGTTAGGTGATGAGGGGACAAACAGTGTGGTACTAACACACGAGATGTGGTGATACTTTGCATGGCAGCAGCTCTGTCTTTCCCAAAGGGTTTTAGGACTCAACTGCTGAAGTGAAACTGAAAACTAAAATGGAAGTTTATTGTTGTAACAGCCCTTTGCTACGACGTTTTGCCTCCCAAGCCATGAACCAACTCCTGCAAAACAGGACAAATATAAAAGCGAAGCTCTCCAAACCCATGCTCTGTGAAAGATATGCTTATCATTGTTTCCTTCACAGTTTGCTATTGTGTTCAAAACACCCAAGTACAGAGATGTCAATATCACAAAACCTGCATCTGTATTCGTACAACTGCGTAGGAAATCGGATCTGGAGACAAGTGAACCAAAGCCTTTCCTCTACTATCCAGAAATCAAAGGTAAGTCATTCAACCTGTTCTGTGTATTGGAATCAGAAACTATAGGGTGCCTACTCCTCTACTATCCAGAAATCAAAGGTAAATCATTCAACCTGTTCTGTGTATTGGAAACAGAAACTATAGGGTGCCTAGGAATGTTTTTAACAAGATAAGACTTGTTGGATGAGGAATTAGTTTTAGTTGTTAATTTTAGAAAATATTGTATTTGCCTCTTTGTTTTGTGCAGGGCCAATATGAAGTGTGGTAGCTTTGTAGTGGGTTTGTAGGTGCTTTCTTGGACTGGTAGGCATTAAATTCTGTATTTTCTGAGCGAAGCTTGCTCCCTGCAAGCTCCCTATATGCACACATGCCTGTCCATACGGTAGATGGCACTCTCTGCCTCTGAGTTTCTGCAAAATAATATCTGAGAAGATTTTACTGTCAGTACTTGCAGATGAAACCTTAAACCAAAGACTGGTTGGTGTCTGGTGGAAAAGGTATGTTTTTACCATCCTAAATGTCACAGATGTTTTTGAATTTTCCAATTGTCTGTACCTGTTAATTAAGCCCAAGACATTTTTTTGTCCTGGTTCAGTCTCCTGTGTTAAAATTTTAGTTGCTTACCAGAAGTAAAATAGTTGTCATGGGACCTTCTTCTTAAGTTGTAAATGAAAAGGAGTTTAACCAGCAGATCTGTGCCATTTAAAGCCTGCGTTGGAAATGTTTGATGTGAATGGCAGCAGCAATCATGGCTTTAAATACCAACGGTGTTAATGATATGGAAATGCCTTGAGGCCCAAGGGGTAGTTGTTGTTTCATTGTATCAAGACTATCTTTCTGCTTAACAGTTTATCTGCCTGCAGGTTACAGTATGAAGTTCTAATCTTGAACGTTTTCTGTGCATAATTTGGAACCATGGTGAAATCAATTCCCTGGCAAAATCTCTAAAATACATGTGTCAGTGTAAGGGACTCAGGACAGCTGTAGAGGGAGGGGTGGTGCTTGATGCCCAAGTGAGTCTACTTTAAGCCTGTTACAGTAAAATATCAGAGAGTATGTATTCACAAAAGCTTCCAAGTTTCCAGATAATTTAGTCTTGGTAATGATTTCAGAGACCTCTTGCAGAAGTATTCTGAAAAGTGAAGTGTACAACTGTAGAGCAAAGTTGCCAGATTTGAAACAAATCTCTTTTATGTGTCTCTTAATGAAGTAAAATTAATTTAGCATTCTTATGTGCATTTTCAGATCCCCTATACAACCTAGTCATGAAATTGCCACTTAGGAACTGTTTTTTTCCCCTTGTGGCAATTGTTCACACAAGCTTACACACATCTATGTGAATTTTTTTTGTTTGCTTCTCTGACTAGATTGCTCTCTAGAGTTTTCTGTCCTCATCAGTGTGAGTATGCCCAATGCATGCATACATACTTACAGATCATGTATGCCTTGAAATAATGGATGTGTATTTTTCAATATACTGTTTCGTGTATTCAGCTGTCTTATTTGCTGCCCTGACTGATGTGCCTGTGCATGAAATTATTTTTGTCATATGGCTGTTGAAAACTACTAGATGGTTTAATAAACAAATGATATTTTCTTTCCTCAACAGTTCTAGTGGATTTCAACCCATGTAATGTTTGTATCCCTACTTTTGTAGTTCTTGTCATGACATTTTCATTTTCTCCAGTCATCAGAGTAGTCCTTCTAAATCTTTGTGTTTTGCTTTCCGAGGGGCTATGTCTTTTTTTGTACTTGTACTATAAAATATTTAGGCTTTTTTTTTCTGCTGTAGCTCAGCATGGTTTGACAGTATTATGTCCTGCCTGAAAATAAGCTGTCTTTGTTCTAGTGGCTTTTATGATATTTTAAGTTCATTTCAAGCAAGCATGGATTTCAGCACTTGCTATCCCTTAAGAAAACCCTTAAACGGAAGTTCAAAGGGCACTGCAGGTACTCTGCACTGTTGAAACTCAAAGTGCCTTATGATTTGCTGACCCTCTGATAAGGATCCACTTCTGAAGTAGATTTGGTTAGTAGAAGAGCCTGTGCTTGTATTCCCCAAAGGCAAATTTTCTGAACAAGTCTGTGGTTTGGGGCATTTGTGCTGATTTGTGACTTGGCTTACACATAGAAGAATTTTAAGCCTTCCAGGGCTTACGTACACAAGACACTTCTGAAGGAACCTCTGAGCCCCTTAAGGCATCTCTGCACTTGTCCCACCCCAGTCTGACCACAAGGCACCTGACGTGACTGTAGAGACCATGCAGGCCCAAGTGATGCTGCTGGTCTGACTGGGAACTTGACACTAGCTTGTTTCTCAGAGGAATTCTCACTTCTCCATTACACAAAAAGTTGTTGTTATTTGGAGCTGACTCTTCTACCATACTCTACATTTTCCTTTGTAAACCAGTAAATTGTAGTAATGCTTTCTGTGTGCACATCCTATGCACCAGTATGGCCACCAGTAGGACTGAGTCCCTATCCTGTCTGTTCCTTCTGTCCCAGATAAAGAAGAAGTGCAAAGGAAACGACAGAAGCTCATGCCAAACTTCTCTGATGGCTATGGTGGAGGCAGTGGTGCTGGAGGTGGTGGCATGTATGGAGGGGGAGGTGGTGGTGCTGGCTCTGGTAAGGCAGCAGTTTTGGGTGAAGAGGGAAAGGGGATCTACCTTGAGAGCAGGACAGATGTCTAATCTGAATTTTAAGATGTGATAAGGATTTTGTCTCCTCCTAGGTAGATAAGACCTGACTCTGTTGTCTTTATACTAGTGCTTCTCAATTCAATCAGGCATCTCCTTGTTTTCTAAACACTTCATCGTGTCCTTTGCCTTTCTACTTTAGTAATTTTGTTGCTTCCTAGGGCCTTGAAGGCACTGAAATTCATGAGACAGCTCAGTTAAGTACCATACTGGGTGACTAAAATTAAACATGTTCTGAATTATTTCTGGGACCACAAGTGCAATTTGACAAAGTAACCCTGCTAGTGAAAAGAACTGTTAAAATCCTGGGGGTTCTATTTAGTAGATTTTCTACTGTGCTCTTATCTGTTGAAGCCACAGTGTATCTGATGTACAGAATCATAAGAGCATTGCTTTGGTTCTTGCAGCAGAGCATTATAAACTTGTAGATCAGCAAATGCTGTCTGAACCACAACCCTGTTTTTAAAGCAGGGAACAGAGCAGAAATTTTCAAATGGTTACGTGTTGCTAGCAGCACATCTGTAGCATAACACCAGAGTACAAATCTGGGGTAATCACACAGATACAAAAGCATAGAGGCAGCTTGTGGTGTTGGTGTCTCAGTTGAGTTTTAGATGAAGCATTTAGTGATACTACATTTGTGTGGTCTCACAGATGTTGGGATAGAGTGTGTCATTAGCCAACCACCTAGAGTTTCTTTAGATTTTTGAAGGGATGGGAGAGAGCTAACCTTCAGCCTGGAAAATTTATTATAATCAGATGGAATAAAGCAGAAGGTATGCAGAAAACAAAAATTCATTTCTTCAGATTCAGAGTTTTTTCAGTTGATGTTTTCATTGCTTTAGGATGTAATTCTATTGATTCTTAATCATTTTTCCTCTCTTTAGGGTTCAGTTATCCTTCATACGGGTACTCGGCTTTCGGAGGGATGCATTTCCACCCTGGCACGACTAAGTCCAATGCTGGAATGAAACATGGTAACAGTAAAGACATACTGTTCTTGCTGCATTTTCTCCTACAGTATCAGCCAAAGTGTCATGGGGGTCTAGCTAAACATGCTGGGGAGGGCTAATTTTTTCCTCTAGAATCAGTCTCTCTTCTCAAACCTCTGTCAGCAGAGGGGTTTGTGAAGATTATACTGCCCTGCTTCTCTATTTTTTATTCTCTCCAAGTCTTACCTTTACAGCTATATATGTGTTCCTTTTTACTGCTAACTCCTGAGAAGTAGTCACCCAAACCTCTCCATGTGCTTCAGTGTATGTTTCCAGCAACAGCTCTTTTGCTTGCTTGAATGTACTGATTACAGGTGACCCAAGGACTAGACCTGAGAAAATGTAACTTCCTTTGTTGCCACAGTCTGGTACTACACAGTAGCCCAGAGAAATAACATAAAAATCAGTGGAAAAGATTAACTTAATAATAAGGACACTCTTGGCTTCCTAAAATAGGAAGGTAATTTCAGATCTACATATTGAATGTTTCAGTTATTTCCAAAGTCTGAGGGAGGAATTTGCTGTTAGGAAAACAAAAACGAATCTGAATAATTCTGCTAAATTTCCTGGGAGGACTTCAGACTTAGATTGTTGTATCATAGAAAGAGAAGTAAATCTGTTGTAATATAGAAAAGTTTATTTTTTAAGCAGAGGCTGCCAAAAACATGACATCACTTTAGAACAGGTTACATCACTATGTCTTTCCATGGATTATGATTAATGAGAACACCTATGTTGAAGTAAATTTTTGTATTGATTCTTCAGGGTTTGGTTTTGTCTAGTTGAGCTTTATCACTTGCATAAAAAAGCAACAGTATTGACACTAGTGATACTAATTTTTGTTAGAAGGACTATCAAACAGCACAGCTGAACAAGACGGGAAGAGCTCTGATAAACAAAGTGACAAATGGGACATGAACCATGATGTGGAGGTGGAAACCGTGGAGAGGACTGAGTGCAGAACATCTGCTGATAATGAGAAGGAGGAGGATGCTGCTTCTTGTAAAACTGAAGTCAATGAGGCAGATTGCAGGTGGCAGGGTAAGTGAACATGGAAATGTGTTTAGTGTAGATCAAACTGCAGTATGGGCAAAGCTGATGTTAAAGGCCTGGAAACTCCATAAACATCTGCTTGCTGTTTCAGAACATGATAATGCCTCCTGAAGGAAATGGAGGATTCCATTCCCCCTCATCTGAGGTCCCTCCTGATGCATAGTTCTGTAGATAGTCTTCCACCTTTGTACTGCCACTGGGTACTTGAGCTTCTGCTTGTCATGCAAGAAGAGACAGCTTAGCCAGCTGGGGGTGTTTAATGCTGCCTTTTAATGAACCTCTATAAGGCAAGCTGCAAGCTGTGAAGGGACATGGAGTACAATTCAGCAGCTGACTTTGCTTTTGATACTTGATAGACTTTAATGGATGAGTAGATGGATGTTTGTGTGATTGTTGCAGTGCTGTTCACACCACGGTTAAATTGCGAGCAAAGCAGCTGTCTCTCACAGGTTTGAATTCAAAATGTAAAGGTAACTGTTCCCATGTAACAAATGCACAGTAAAATAATTCTGTTGGGTGACAAAGTGACATGCATCAAGCAAAAGGAGAGGAAGGCAAGAGTAGTCAGTAGAAATGGTTTTAGCAGCAGAGTTGTAAAATATACAGCGACTACGAATCAGCCTTTCCCAGACAGCAAGATGTCCTTTTCCTGGATTGCTTTTTAAAATAGTTGATGGATGCTTTTTTAAAGGATTTGAATAATCATGCTTATCATAAAATTTTAAAAACAGCAGTTGTATGAAGGAGACATAGTAGTGGTAGGAATTGAACAGGAAGCAATTTTTTGTTCTTGGCTTTTACCAAGTGAGCATAATATAGACAACTTCTGTTTTTCCTTAGGTCAGGGAGAGAGCACATTATCTTGTGTGTATCAGCCCTAACAGCACTAGAAGCTGTGGCTTGAGAAACCAAAGTGGCATAGTAGATGGAGTGTCGTTGCAAAAACCTCCAAGGTGTAGCTTCATGTGATCTGAGAACAGATTGCACTCTTGAGAAAAGCTGAAGGAACTTGCTGCTTGCAGTCTTGGTTGTGATGAATCCTGTGACTGGTTCAGAGATCAAAATCTTTTGCTCATAGGTGAAGAAATAATAATGTCCATTTAGCAGTCGCAAAGGCCTGAATTGTTTACCTGTTTTCTGAGTAATGAATGTTGTAGGCAGGAAGTTGACCATTTCTTTTTTGTAATGGCATGAGAGGAAGCAATTTCAAGCTCCAGATTATATGAAGGATTGGTGTAAAAGAACAGGCTCCATAAAATAGCTACTGCAGGTTAGATCATTTGGGTATTAGACTAAAAGGTGCTATCTTGTATTTTGAAGGATATTTTTTCTGTGTGTTTTTACCAGGGAGTTTCAGCATCTGCTTCCTTGGTCTTTGGAAATGTCTATAATGACAAAAGACTGAATTGCTTCTCACCCTTTACTCTGAATATGTATTCTGAACATAACATCCATTTAATGCTTTTATTTAATGTTAAGAGGTAAATAACAAATATAAATGTATCTGCCTGGGCATATAGTAGAGCAACCACAGTGATGTATTGGCTAGAACAATAAATTTCATGGATAGCTGAATAAGTCTTTGCCTTCCAGAAATAATCTGCTCGTGTTTGTCAGGGATACACTTCTGACCCAGTCTAAATGCCTGGTTTTCTGTAACTGCAGATCCTGGGTATTGTCCCCACATGTGTGATTTGAATGACAAAGTCTGTTGTACTTGTTTGCTCTTAGTAATTTCCAGCCTTACAAGGTTTTATAGAAACATGAAACTGTTCAGAATACAGGCTGGTTTCAGATGATACTGCTTCCCAGAATGACTGTGGTTTGAGAGTTCATCTGTTTCATTTTCACTGGTTTCTTGCTGATACAGAACCACAACAGTATTGACAGAGCAGCTTGAGTTACTTTTTTCCACAAATTAGTTTCTTTTCTCCCCTTTCTCCCTTTTGCCTCCCCACCACGACAAACTCTGCTCTCTGAAATCTTAGTGATTGTGCATGTTTTAGAAATCTAAAATTGGGATGCTACAAATACAAAGCATTGTAAAACCTGGAATGTTTTAAGCAGAGCAGACTCTCTGTGCTGCAGCTGTAAAGCAGGAGAGACTGCATGATTTGAGCTGGAGAAGGAGAACAAAGCCCTGTGTTTATTCCCTAGCTTTTCTGTGAGCTTCTGTGCAATATTAGATGGGTCTCTTAGGCTTTTTGTCCCTCAGTTTCCTCAGACTGTGTGAGATGTAGAAGTGCTCTACAGATGAGTCCTTGGGTATCTCTTGTATCTGAGCAGATCCAAGTTCCTCCTCCTTTTGTCTCATTACATGCAAGTGCATATCAGTGCAGTTAATTCAGTGTCACTCAAACCAGAGGCAGCTTCTAGGCTCTGACTGTTCTCAGGCTTCCTGCTGCCTGAATGCTTAGGATGCACCTTAGTTTTTCTTCCAAGGGACTCATTCCCTCTGTCCTGATCTCTCAGGAGTAATTAGAAACCATCTCAGTGAAATGGTGAAATAATGTGTGGTGGTCTGAACTTTGTGTTTCTATGACAGCACAAATGTCTATCAAAAGGTGGTGGTGTTCCAAGGAAGTCAACTAAACTGATGAAGGCAAATCTGTGTGTTGCAGATGCTCTGTTCCTGGAGAAGGCAATGCAGCTTGCCAAGCGTCACTGTAGTGCTCTCTTTGATTATGCTGTGACTGGAGATGTGAAGATGCTGTTGGCTGCTCAGCGCCATCTCACTGCTGTCCAGGATGATAATGGAGACAAGTGAGTTGACTGCACTATGCTTACTGGGTTGAAACTGATGGGTTTGGTGGCAGAATGGTGTGGTCAATTTGTTCTGTCCATCACGGGTGCCAATCATGGGTGGCAGCACTGCTCTAAGCAATATTGTTCTCCTTCATGCTGTCTGAGAGAGGTACATCTGGGATTTAGACATTTTTGTTGCATTTGCAAAGAAGTCATGCACACCACAAAGTTCATTGATCCAGTACCTGTCAGAAAGTAATCTGGTCGATGAGGATATGTTGAGCATGTTGGGAGTTTCCTTGCCTTTTTCTATTCAAAGCCTTGATTGAGCATGAAATGCTGTGCTTGCTTCATGACACACAGTGGATGGTGATTGTCAGCTTGGTGCTGAAGGAGAGTGCCCTGCTTTTTATTCCACGCAAGTCCTGAAGTCTTCATAGAGAGCTTTAAGTAAGAGATTCACTGGGAGATGTAGAAACAACAGCTGGAGGGTCCATACTGCTTTTCTCCCACTGACACCAAGTTCTTCCCAGGGGACATTATTTTGCTCTTGCTTACATCTGTACTGTACTGTTGTCTTCCAAGGGATTGCACAGATGTTTGTGGCAGACTTGGCTGCTAATACTTGCTTATGAGTCCTTCAGTAATGTGAGATGGAGTAGAAATCCATTTTGTTCCTCTACAGCTATGCAGATTCTATGGAAGTGAGAGTGCAATACAGGGAGAAACTAATGATTAGTAGTTATTTAAAATGAAGTTCAGCAGAAGTGGCTCTGAACATATGCAAAGATAACCTCTTGAATAAACATTCTCACATCCTCACTTTTAGCACACAGGCCTTGGCCAGGCCCTGTGCAATCACCTGTGTTTCCTTAAATTGCAGTATCTCGTACAGTAGAAGCCATGCAAACCTTGAGGTGTCCACCTAGATGGAAAATTACAAACGACCGAGCCCTGTATCCCACTGTTTGATTACTCTGCAAGAGGTCACTACTTTCCTTCCATTTTCTGTGAAAATAGGTCTCAGATTACAGATAAAAGACTGCAAAAGCTGAAATAGCTACTTTACTTGCTTTGCTTTCCAGATGGCAACCTAATGTCTGCTTTGAGGAAAGCAGGAATATGAACGAGGCAGGGGCTAGCAACAAGATCTACTAGCACTTTGGACATTACAGCTTCTGTGTTTATAAAAACAAGAAAAGTGAGGAGTAGAGGAGTATTAAGCAAGCAGGACTTGCCTTTAAATTGCAGTAAGGTGCCCCTCAGATTTGGACTTGTAGGGCATTTCAACTGACTCAAAATATTTTTCAGAATGATGATAAATATGGAAGTATGTGAGGCTCAGGTTCATGCCACCTTTCTCCTGGGATGGATTTCAGTCTGTGAGCATGTCATACATCTGTATTACTCTGCAACTTTTTAACAAAGTGAAACTTCGGTGATTGTCTTCCAGTTCTCTCTTGGGAGGAGGAATGGGAAGATCAAAATTAACAAATAAATTTCTCTGAGTTTCACCTTAATCATTAAAATTATATGGCAAAAACTAGAAAACTTAAGCCTTTAAAAATGTTGCTGTCAACAATTTTGCTCATCTTTCATCAAAGTAGTACGTAGGGAGTGAAAATAACTTTAATGTTTTTTACGGCATTGAGACAGAACACAATAACCTCTGATCAGCATCTGTTTACTATGGCAGTGTCTAGAACCAATAAAAAAGGCCCTTCGAGGATGAGTTTGGTTTGTAAATTATATTTTATCCCTTTTCAAATATCTTCTGGTTTTAAGTGCTCTCAGTCTCAATTTCAGGATGACTCCATGCCCTGAAATAGCACAGAACTTTTTTTTATCTATTTTTTTTCATATGCAAATGTAAATCTGAGACTATTCAGGTATTTCTGGAGCAGCATAATGGACACACCACATGTCCCATGCTGATATTGTGTGTCAGCAGCAATATGCTAAAAAGATGAGTCTAGAAGTTGACCAGCATCTGTTAAGGGAGAGCTTGGCAGGATATATTTCAAAACAAAGGACGTGACTTTGAACTGAAATCTTAAGGGAACAAGACAGATCAAACTCTGTTGGACAGGGGTGATGGGATTCAGAGTCTGCTTTTTTCCTGGTGACATTTTGCAAGTACAGCCAGCCTGGCTGGTGGTGAGGGACTTGCCTGTGGAGAAGAGCATGGGAAAGGCCATTGTGTTAACCCAGTAGAAGTGCAGAGTCTTGCTATGCAGGGTCCCAAAACAGGTTGGTTTTATTGGCATGACATCTCTGGCCACTGCTGCAAATCCTGTGATTGTTAGTCACTGGGCCTGAGTCCTGTGTCATTTTTCTGTTTGAAAATGAAGACAAGAAAACCCCACAGATGTGGGGGAAACCCCAAGGGAAAATCTGCTTTGGTGGCAGACAGTCCTGTGGAAATTCTGCAGGAAGGTTTTGACAGTATGATGTGTTCATCTGCTGCGTAATTCAAAATATGAGAAAACCAAACCAGCAAAGAATCTGGGGATTTTCTTAAACAATTGCTTTGTGCTACAATTTTGTGTATTAGACTAGCACTGAAGTTATGCTCAGGGCCAGCAAAAGCCATCCTGAGTTTGTTTTTGTGGTTGAAGTGTTAAACATAGTTACCATCTGACCTGCTTTTTTTAATGCTGGGTTTAATTTTAGGTGCTGATATTTAGTGCTGGAATCATTACCTGTAACAGCCAAGTGTTTATATCAGAATTCAGTCAGGTCTACAGCAAAGCCTTGGAATTTTTACTATTAATTTGAAAACTGTATAAATTTGTTCATCTCTTTTGTTCGTGTCAGCGTCCTTCATTTAGCAATTATCCATCTTCATACTGAGCTGGTGAAAAACCTCTTGGAAGTGATGCCTGATCTGAATTACAACGACATCATTAACATGAGAAATGACCTCTATCAGGTGAGCAGTTGTGGTGGCATGAGCATTGCTGATTGTTCAGACAGTAAAAAAGAAATTGCACAACTTGCTGTCTGTGGGGCAGAGCAGAGATCAGAGTGTGATGCAAACAAGCTTAGAAACACAATGACATGGGAAGGTGGTGGAAGAAGAAGGCCACGTTTTCACTGGTTTAGTCCATAACTCCCCTTGATGTTAACAGAAGTGTCTCCAGGGCTTTGCTGTAGAACAGGCCAAAAATAGTAAATTCTTCAGTTCATGTCTTCAGTATTTGACTTCTCTGTTACTAAAGCAGTGGTATGGATTGCAGTGTGCCAACTCTGGGCTCTTTTGACCTTTCTAACATAGGTTAACTCGGGACTATGAGTCAGTTGCTATGTCATCAGTAATCTGTAGGCACATGGAAGCCGTAACAACCTCTGCCCTTCCTACAGCCCAGATTGTATTTGTGCCTATCACATGAGCATCAAGATTTCCCTTTCATGTTTAGATTCACATTATAGTTAAAAATAAAACAACAAAACCAGCCCATCCCCATATCATCCAATCCAGTAGGGTTGGACTCGATGATCTTTGAGGTCTCTTCCAACCTGGTTGATTCTATGATTCATTTAACTAGTAGGAGAAGAACTCTGAACTGCCAGGCACAATTCTGTCTTCTCAACTTCAACTATGAGAGAGTGTGAGCTGTTTGTAATGTAACTCAGGTTTTAAAAGGAGCTCTGGGAACCTGCCTGGCAAAGAGTCTCTTTGAAAGAGATTGTGTGCATCATTGGGCTGTTCCAGTCACCAGCTGGATGTCACACAGCAGCACTCTGATAGTTGTGTCATCTGCTTTGCAGTGAACAGTAAAAGCAGGTCTTTATTCTACACAGATAGCCTCAGAGGGTTTATTTTGACTTCTTTGTTTTCTTTCACATTTCATTTTTATGTTCATGTAAGGCCAGTTTGAAATGTTGAGGCTGATGAAAGCAAGCAGAAGACTCTGAATTGAATTCTGTGCCCTCTGTTGAACAGAAACAGGAAGCAAAGCTGTGCTCCACACAAGAAATAAATCCCTAACTACCAGGACCTCTACAGCTCTTCCTGCTTTCTACTTACACCTTAAGTCAGTGGTGGGAGACAATGTATGCTTAGGCTAGAATTTTCCTCCTGTATGCATATTCTGAAAGCTGTATCTTACATGTACCTTACAGATGCAGTAATTAATTGAAAATGTGTTGACAAATGTATTGATAAACACAAGCTTATTGTGCAGAGCTGGCATTAGTCTTCATTTGTTTCATATCTGTTAATATAAATGCAATGATCTGGAGAGGGAGTCTCATGCAATTTTGAAATTATTTTAGTATTGGACATACGTTTTCCCAAACCTTACTGGAATCCTTACTGTTTAAATACATGCATTTCTGAGCATGTTCAACATGATGCTGCTCACTAGCAGGACTGACAATGCAGCATGCAATCATCCTCTGGAAATACAGGAAACCTCTTGGCCTGAGAGCTGCTCAGCGCTGCAGGTGTCTGTGCACAAAAAAGGGGAACGTGCAAATAGCATCAGCTAGGTGGACATGCACTGTGTAAGCGCAGAGGTGTTCTGCACTTTTACAAATGCACAGAATACCAGGATTTTCTTCTTTCCTGTGCTTGTTTTGATTTTTTTTCTTCTTTCCTGTGCTTGTTATTTTCTTCTTTCCTGTGCTTGTTTTGAGGGATGAGGAGCTCCTAATCCCATGGCTGCAAACCCCAGGAGTAAAGTGAGAGCATGGTACAGTGCTAAAGGCAGACCTGAGTAGGGCCTGGAAGGTGCATGTGCTCCCACCGTGGCATGAACCTGGTGGTGGGGCAGCTGGAAGCAGGGTTACAGTGTTTGGGGGTGCAGGGATTACCTCATCTCCTGAGTCCCTTGCACTGCAATGCTCAAATAGCCAGGTCAGTGCCCTGGCTTACAGAGTAGGCAACATCTTTGTTCCTCCCAAAGTCCAACTGCTGACACTGGCAAGGCAGCTTTTATTTCCAGTAAGTAGAAACCCTATGTGCAGTATTCAGTAGAAAAGAATGTACACACATGCAAGCTTTTGGTTTCTGTTAGCTTTGGAGTGATGTAACATCTCACACTAGGAGCTGTCATGGGTTTAAGAGGTATCTGTACAAGTGACATAGGTGTTGCTTATCTTGTCATGGCTTGCTTCTGTCAATTCTAGACCCCCTTGCACCTGGCAGTAATCACAAAGCAGGCAGAGGTGGTAGAAGACCTGCTGAAGGCTGGAGCAGATGTCAGCCTTCTGGATCGCCATGGTAATTCTGTCTTACATTTAGCTGCTACTGAAGGAGATGACAAGATTTTGGGTCTACTCCTCAAGCATAAAGAGGTGTCTCCAATGGTCGACCTTTCTAATGGTGAAGGTATGGAAGGCTCATGGCTCTATTTTACTTACTAGACAAACATGTCTCAATTCCTCCCAACACCGTGTTTCTGCACAGGTGGATACAGACCTTGAAAATAGCATTTTTCCCTATTTTGCATATGCTGTCCTTGGGTCTTACATGCCTGCAGGCAGAGATGAGAGAATTGTGTCAGTTTTCTGGTTGGACAGAACAGAAAGATTGGAAATGGCCACGTGACACAGTATGGATTTGAGTTTTTGTTACTGTATATTCTCTTTAATCTCACAAAACTTGAAGTACTGTATTCCTCCTGAGATACTTTATGCCCAGAAGAAAATGTTTCCTCCTCTAGTGAATGAAATCCCCTCAAAAATAGTTTCTGGACCTGTGCTGAGTTTCATATCTGGTATCTTGCGACCATATAGAATTGGAGCCTATAAAATAACCACAAAGACACAATTCTCCCATTATTCAGTGGCACAGGGGATTTGAATTTAGCACTCCTGCTCTAGTAGATTGTGAAATGTCTGACCTAAAAATGTCATGGGATTCAAGAAAATATGAGACAGAATTTTTTGTTTGGGGCTTGGTTGGTTGGTTGGTTTTTTAAATGCAAAGCTTTATTATTCTCTTTCTGAGCCAGTGCAGGTAATCTTGAGGTGATAGGTCAGTGTGACCTTACAGGAGGATGATGCTAAAATATAGCAGTTAATCCTCAGACTGTTTCTAGCAGAGATGTTCAGTAGCAGATGTGGCCAGTGTGGGGTACCTACTTGCTTAGTACCTAGATGCAGATTTTCTTTTCAAGGCTGCTCTCTTTGAGGCAAAGAGATGCTCTAGATGAGCTCTAGTTTCTACCTTCTGTTCCACCTTGTAATTGGCTGATTTATTTATATTTTTTTTTTGCATGGCTTTGACTTGCCATTAATTACACAACTGGTTCAAATTTATGCACAAAGAACATTTTTATTACAATCATCCTGAACCTCCACCTGGAGTACTACTTCAGGCTCTGGGGCCCCCAACATAAGAAGAACGTGGACTTGTTGGAGCAGGTCCAGAGGAGGCCACGAATCCTGGCAGCTCATCTGTTCAGCCTGGTGAGGAGCTGGCATTGCAGCTTGCCAGTCCTGTGGGAAACCTGGAGAGGACTTTTTACAAGGGCATGTAGTGATAGGACAAGGGAGAATGGAACTGACAGAAAGTAGGTTTAGATTAGGTATTTAGTAGAAATTCTTTACAGTGAAGGTAGTGAGACACTAGCACAGGTTGCCCAGAGAAGTTGTGGATGCCTCATCCTTGGAAGTGTTCCAGGCCAGGTTGGATGGGGCTTTGAGCAACCTGGACTAGTGGAAGGTGTCCTTGCCTATGGCAGGGGGTGGGACTAGATGATCTTAGAAGTTTTTTCCAATCTAAACAATTCTATGATTCTTTCATCTTTTAGTGTATAAGCAGGCAAAATATGTTACTTCTGCTCAGGTAGCTACAGTAACTCATAACTCATTTTGCAGTTTTCATAGATTCGAACACTGCAAAACTTATTACTCTGACTTTTCTCAATTTTTCAAATATTAATGCACATGATGGATGGGTTTTGTTAGGTCTCCATGCAATTCATATGGTGGTGATGGCAAATAGCATGTCCTGCCTCAAACAGCTGATTGCTGCTGGAGTTAATGTCAATGCTCAGGAACAAAAGTCTGGACGAACCGCGTTGCATTTGGCTGTTGAACAGGAGAACATCCCTTTGGCAGGCTGCCTTTTGCTTGAGGTAAGGGCAGAATTTCTTTCTCCCAGGTCTTTTTCAATTGTCTGTTTAAAAACTCTTGACAATCCATAAGTGCTTCAGAGGAACAGAAGTAATGGGAGGTTCCTGTTTATTGACTAGATAACTTAAATTGGTGTCATGGCACAATTGCTGGTAATGTTACTCACTGTTTTGCTCAGCACTGCTGGTGAACCTTTTGCCCAAGTTGAGGAATTTATGGTTTGTGACCCTGACCTGACTGCATATGTGTGTGTAATTTGCACTGAGTAATCCTGGCAGCCAATAAAGTTACTCATGAACGAGTTCATCACTACTTCTGTGTGAGGTAGATGTGCACAGAGATTCAGTTGTGTATACCTATAAATATTTGCCTTGTCTCTTTATCCCCTTGATCCTACTGCCCTTAATTCTGCATACCCCCAGCTGGCTGCAGCAGCTTTCCTCAGTGCTGTGCCCTGCTGTGCCACCAGCCTCCCTGCTCTGCTGAAGAGCAGCAGGAGGGCAGATTTCTGTGGGCACCATTCAGGGGTAATCAGATGGCAGAACTATTACCGAGGATGCAGTGTGGCTTTTATCTACCTGACCTCTTTGGGTGTGTACACTGTGCCTCCTGCTGTAACACTGGGGCACACAACTGCATGCAGACAGTCGTAGTTACTCCTTTTCAGACAACAAGTACAGTTTTCATGCAAACAGGTATGGAATGGTGATTACTGCACAGTTGCAGTGTTTCTGCAGATATGAGGCACTACAGCTGTATTGTATGGATGAGTAGTACTTTTCTTTTTGTCATTCAATAAAAACTTAGGGTGATGCAGATGTGGACAGCACTACATATGATGGGACAACTCCACTCCACATAGCAGCTGGAAGGGGCTCTACAAAATTAGCAGCAGTTCTCAAAGCAGCAGGTATGAAAACAGATCTTTGCTGGAGAATTGTTTTTCACGATGACAATTCAAGTTGGAATTTCTGTTGCAAGCAGAAAAGAATGTGCCAGTGAACTTGTTTAATAAGTGGAGGAACTCAGATGTTAAAAGCATGAAGGTCTGAATTTCCTCAGAAAGTCCATTTCGAGGTGCTATACTAACCACTCTTCAGCACCATCTAACGGCTAAAGAGGCAAATTGTTGGTCAAGAAAAATCTCTTGAGCACTCTTGGAAGTTTTTTTTTCGTATTTCCTTTGTAGCTCTTAAGGCTGAAGAAGTGGAGAAGAGACCTTGTTACATAGCTGGGATAAAGCTGGACTACTTTAGAAACAACAAAAAAAGCATCACTGAAACATGAGCTTGTTAGTGTCTCCTAGTCATGTCTCTTTGGAAAAATTAGGTTTGAATATTTATTGGAAGATTTTGTCAATTATATTTAAACCTGATTTTCTCCTTTGAAACAGAAGCCCAAGCCTCTCATTGCTGTGTCTATCTGCTTGGTCTTTTAAAAATATCAACAACTTTCTCTGACACTATAAAAAGTAACCATGGTAGGGTTGGACTTAGTGATCTTGGGAGGTCTTTTCCAACCCAGTTGATTCTATGATTCTATTCTATGAAAAAGCAGCAGCACATCATCACTTCATCACGTACCTGCTATGCTGTGTGAGAGCCAAGATGGTTGATAGAACCATAGCTCTTCCTTTGGGCCCTAATGCTCTGCTTGTAATTCCTCCCCTCTTCTCATTATACAGAGATGTGACAGCATTTAAATGTAATGGATAAAAAGGGTTATTTGCTGGCTTAATATAAAATACAGTTTAGCTGGACTACCCAAATGAGCTGATTTACCATTCAGAACTTGAATGCATGTTTTAAATACTATTGAAAAGCAACTTAAACCCTTTTCTTAGGAATTTTTTTTTGCACACTTGTTTTCCAGGTGCAAATCCTCACATTGAGAACTTTGAGCCACTGTTTGATCTAGATGATGTGAAAGATGGTGAAGATGATGATGATGAAGGGATTGTGCCTGGAACAACACCACTGGATATGGCAGCCAACTGTGAGGTATGTGGTCTGTTTGGTTTGGGTTTTTCTAATAATAAAGGATAGTTCAGCTCCCTCAGCTCCTTTCACTGCAGCCACAGTTATTTCAGTGGTGACAAGTAACTAATTTGCCATCAAAAATTAAACTAATTCAGCCATGAAACTCCCCTGATGAAAGAGCATTGGAAGGAAGCTCCACTTAAACTACTGCTGCTGAGCAGTAATGAGCAGTCACTTCTTGAAATAGTTGTATTAGAGTCTTCAGTATGGAAAAGTATTTAGCTGGCTGGGCAGCTGTGTTTGAAGGTCTATTTTCAGAGGCACTTTCCCGTGGGTTTCTTTCCTGCATGTTCTTCAGAATTGCAGTCTGTGTGCGTGTCAGGAAAACGTACTTCTGTGTTCTGCCCAAACAGTGATTAGGCTGCATGGTCCATGCTTGGTAGCTAATCATGTGCTTTTGATTTGGTGTGAGTGTAAAGTACAAGCAGCCAACATCTCTAATCACATGGAGCTGGGGAGTGGTACCTGCCTTGGGTGAAAATCTAACCCAGGCTTTGTTTTAAATGACTAATGGCAGACAGGCAGCAACTCCTTGCTTAGCCACTGCTACTGCCATTTAGTTACTGCAAAGACTTCCTCTGTGTCTTGAAAATAGTGGCCAGATGATACAGCTTAAAGGAAAGGGACAGTTACTTTTCAAGACACCTCCCTCAAGCTTTGCATAGATCTTCTGCAGTATCTTGAGTCATGCTGATCCTGGAAGGAGAAAAACAATGGCAATTTTCAGACAGAATTAGGGCTTTATACAATACTGTCGAGACTTGTCAAGATAATGGACACAAACCAGATTTCTGCAAAATACTGACTTTAATGTATTCTCTTAGGTGTACAACATATTAAATGGCAAACCCTACGAGTCAACAGAGGTTTTGGAGCACTTAGTGACACGAGGTAATATCCATAAAGAAGACTTGTCAATACCCCTCTAGTTACTGAATACTGAAACTGTAGTGGCAGAAGACATTGCCCTGCAATAGCCTGTAACTGAAATAGTGAGAGAGAAGGTACCCTCCCACCCCTCCCTCACAGAATGAGATGATTCCCTTCAAAGGTCACAGGGGTGCAAAGGAGCACATTTTCAATGCTACAGCAATATATTTGTAAACACTGGGACTGGACTCTAAAATACTTTTCAGCTGGGCTTTGTTTCTGCTTAGAAATGAACTGGTGCATGATTTGTATAAATAATAAACTAACATAATTCTCTATTCCCCAGGACGCTTGAGAGAGCTGAATGAAAGTTCCAAGATTCAGCTTTACAAACTATTGGAATCCCCCGATCCAACCAAAAACTGGTCTACTCTAGCACAAAAACTGGGTCTTGGCATACTTAATAATGCCTTCAGGTTGAGCCCTTCCCCATCGAAAACTCTGCTAGATAACTATGAGGTAATGTGGCTGTAACAAGTTCTAAAGAACATTCAGACATGTAGAGAACATTGTCCTACACTGTGAGACAGTTCAGCCCTTCAGTTGTAGCCAGCCTGGATGATGGTGAGCATCTGGTGTCTTCTGTCTTAGGTTTCTGGTGGAACAGTTGAAGAGCTGATTGCTGCTTTGAGACAGATGGGTCACACAGAAGCCATCGAAATAATTGAGGAAGCACTGTCCCTCTCACACAGCTCATCTCACCTGGAGGACAGTACAGCAAAAGCTCCTCCGTTGTCGTCACCACTCACCTTTGCAAATGGAGAGACAGGTAAAACTGACAGCAAAACATTAACAGTTGTAAGACCTTTTTTTAAAAAAAAAAAATTCTCCTTCCTCACCCCACCTTGGACGGCTGATAGATTGCAAACACTTACACACAATGCCTGAGCTGCTTACATGTTTCAGAAATACCTTATTGCAGCATGACCTTTTAGTCGTAGATATTTGCTAGGCCTAGAAGAGGGAAGAAAAATGGGCCTTTGAATCAGCATGCCCACATCACAGGATTGATCACCCTGCCTCCCTTTTCTAGAACCAGACATCTGCCATTTGCTGATGGTAATGCCTTGGATGTACTGGGAATGTTTCAAAAGATAAACTAGGCACTGATCTCCCGGGCGTGTATAAGTGCCATTAGCTTTTGACTTTTTTTTGCCCTCATATCTGGATAAACAAAACTGTTTCGAGCTCATAAACATCTCAGTAAGCCTCTGGTATTAAATTTCTCCTTCCACAATGTGTAGTACTTCAAAATGGCCCAGTGTTCTGTAGGCAGAGAAGACAGGGATGGTTTAGGTTACACAGGACCTTCAGCCAGTCCTGCTGTCCAACTGCCCCCTCAGGGCAGGGCCAGTGTAACATTGCATGAGGTTGCCCATGTCATGTCCACTTGAGTTTTGAACATCTTCAACAACAGAGGTCCTATGGTGTTTTGGGGCAGGGGACTCTACTAACAGAAAAGTCAGTAAGTCATCAGAGATGTTCAGTCACTTCCTGGCCATGTTTAAGTAACAAAACCCTTTGGTTTTTTCCTGTTTGAACACCAGTAGTGCTGCCAGTAGCCTAACGTGGAAACTTACACCCTGTGTGAAAATAGTGCAGCTATTTCTAGAAAGAAAAGAGTACCACCACAGTCACTCCATTCTGGCCTAATGTTGCCAGTTTACTCTCTATAGAAAACTGTTTGTTCAGTCATGAAATGAACCTTCACACCTGCCCAAAAATGTGCTTGTACACATACTGCCCCTTTAGATTTACCTTGAAGGGTAAGAGCAGTTCTGCTCCTTTGCAACGTGAACGGGCTGCATCACATCCTTTATGTTAAGACATTTGCTTAGAAAAATAAGACTGAACTCTGATATGCCAACCATTGTTTTAGCCACACTGATCCCACATCATACCTTCAGCTCAGATACTGATCTCTTGCAGTCATGCACAGGAGATAGCTGTTGCTGACTTCTTCGTATTTCTGGTTCACTTACTAGGTGAAAATTTTTCACGTGTTTATCTTCAAAAAAAATCTGTAAGTTGAAATAACATGAGAAAGCTTTAGGAGTCTCATCCTGGAGCTGTACACTTGCACAGAGTCTGAATCTGAGAGAGAATCTTTTGCCTTGATACTGCCACACCCGGGGCAGAGTCCTGACTAGCTGCAGTGACAGAATTAGTGTCAGCAGAGCACCAAGCTTCTCATCCCATCCAAGCTCCAACTGCAAGGTGATCTCTGCCAGCAGTAGGTCAGATCACATGCTTTGGTGGCCTGAAAACATTCAGCACAGCTTTTCCTATTACAATATCTCACATTAGAGTTATTTTCCTATAGAAGAGCTTTAACCCTGTTTGCTTCCATTCCTTAGGCTTTTCTGAAAGCAGCATTCCTCAGGCCACACAAAGGATAATATATTTCCCTTTTCTCTCTCCCTTAGGTGAGCTTTATAACACCAACTTTCAAGACAGTGAAAGCACATGTGACAGTGGTGTGGAGACCTCCTTCCGCAAACTGAGTTTTACTTACTCAGACTCTCTGAGCAGCAGGTCAGCACTAACACTTGGCAAAATGGCCCTGGGCTATGGACATGAAAGTTCAGTGCAAAGCAATTATATAGCTGACTAGTGATGTTCAATTAGCAATATACAGTTACAGGAACAAATGTGACATTTGAAATGACATCGGTGTCGTCCTGGCCAGAGGGAAGTGAATCCACGACCAAGAGCAGCCACTGGAAGAATTCCACCTGAACTTCAGCATGTGACTCCCACCCACTGCTTCCCTCCTCAACTACAGTTAAATCTATTCATTTACAAGCTATATGCAATAACCAGGGCTCTACTGACACACTGATACATGGGACTGGATGCCATGAAAGACTGACTGAGCTTTCCTGGTTTGTGAGGATTTTCTTTTACAGGTGAAAGTCACTCCTTGTTAATGCATAATGCCAACTCATTAAAGAGGTAAGGCACACAGAGCAATCAAAGGACAGAGTTTCTAGCTGCTTTCTTCATAATTTTTACAGCACAGTTGCATGAAAAAAGCTCATAAAATAGCTGGCAAAGAAAAATCATTACTTTAATCACAACAATGATAACTCAGAGGAAAAAGAATCTTGTATATTTCAAATAATGTATTTAAACTTAACTTTGGTGCCTCTTATTCAAGAAATTTTCGGTTTGTCATTTTCCTACTTGTAAATAGTTTTTTAATATCTGTTCCTTTTTTTAAAAAAAAGTGCTTTTTAAAGGCTTATTTTTATTTTACTTTTATAATAAAAGCCCAAAATGAATTCTCTTGTCTACACTTGCTGTAATTTTTACGTATCTTCCAATAAGAGTTATTGAGGATTTAGCATTTCAGTTTTAGGCATTGATACAAGATCATGCTGATTTCCAAGTACTAAAATAAATAAAGGGTCTGCAAGCCACCTGTCATAAAGGTTAAGTATGTTTTATGGTGGGAGATTAGGAGCATCAGCTTTGGAATTAAAGCCTCTACCTTGTTTTAGTTCTCATAATTACGGCAGAGAATCATTTACACTGAAACCAACTGTTTAGTGTCTCAGCAAAACTCTGCTGAGACAGTTCTCCTTTGGGTTATCTAGAAAGTCCTGTAATAACTGTGTTCATGAGCAGTGTTTCTTCTCATTTAATGTCATGCTGAGATGGTGAGTGTAATGTTGGTCCAACTAAGAGTACAGAGCAGGTATCAGACCTCATGTTAAAAATCCAGAGAGCAGCATCAGACCATTGTCACTCACTTGCAGACAGGTTTCTTGGCACAAAGATGGAGTTTTGACAGCATGATTCTTGGCTTAGCTCAGTCTTCAGTAACCTGGTGTCACTCCTGAAAAAATGAATCAAGATAAACCTTGAGAATGTAACCATTTAGATCAGTAGTTGCTGTAATGAATTAAACCATGAGTAATGAAAAAAACCCACTTCTGAATTAATTTTATATCCAGCTGAATTACTGAGTATGTTAATTACTTCCAAAGAAACAGGATGAATAAGAGTAAAAATGCCATTTTTTCTTTCAGTTATTCTATGCATAACCTACATATGCAGTATCTAAGGCATATGGGGTTTTGTTCAATTAATGTACTTGTCCAACATTCTCTTTGTATTCCAGCTGTAATAGAAACAGGCAAAGGTTCTCATATTCTGGGGGTGGAGGAGCTTTTTGAGCCCTAGCAGAGCTTTTGTCCAAGTCAAACACACCTTCTGTTGCCACAGAATTTCCAGCACAACTCAGGGGGTTGGCAGAGATTGTTATTGAGGTTTCAATAATTCTGCAGGTCACCAGGACACCCTGGCTGTTGATTCGTGCCTTTTCTGACCAGCTCTGCTTTTAAACCACCACGAGACACCCGGGTCTGTATTTCCTTAAGCACTTCATGCCCAAATGCTGCATAATAGCTATTCATCAGGTTAGTGAGCATGCAATGAACAGCAAGTCCCTAGGCCCAATGTATTGAAGTGCTTTTAAAGGGCAGTCTGGCAGCTTCTTTCCTTGGAGCATCTCTGTTTCAGTATGTTAAACAAAAGAGGCTTTGGTCCTTTTATTTTTCCCCCTCTTTGTTTAGAGATAGAGAAACATTAATTTAAAAGTATTAGTAATTCAACCTGGAACACTAAATTTTTACAGTTGAGTCACAAGTTAAGACAACTTTTCTCATATGCATTAACCCTCTGCATCTTAAGTATGTGTTGCAGACATGCTGTACAGTGTCAGAACTAGGTGAGAGCAGGAGGTGGAACACACCAACTAGTGTAGGACACACTACAGAAAGTGGCAAAACAACTGCTAGGAGACATTTGTGTCTTGTGTTAGTTTCACTTGGCAGAGCAAACCCACTGGAGAACCCAGTGCTTCCCTCAAGCAGCTCAGTTAAAGAAAATGCTAAAACACACACCTGTGTTCTTCTGCTTGACTTTTTTTCATCTTAATAGCAGTCATGCTGTGTAGGGCATCCTGTTCTTGCACTGATGACACCTGGGAGAAGGTCAGGCTCCTTGCAGGTGTGAGGATGAAGGCAGCATACAGAGGAACAAGGCTTAGCAAGAGAAAGTGTAAGCAAGAGACAAGTCTTAACAGATATATTTAAAGCAAATGTGTTCTTCCTAACAGGTAACTGTCAAGTTCTGTTTATGGACCTCAACATCGTATCTTCTCACCTCAAATACAGATTTATCCTTACAGCTCCTTGACAAGAAAGGAAGTGCCATTCCTATTTCATAAGTGTGATGGAATAAAGTAAAGGATAGTCCTGCAGGAATCGGCTGCCTGGGAGCTCCTGTGTCTACACATGGCTTACAGAGAGAAACCTCTCTCACTTAACTGCTAAAAATAGAGTAGTAATGCTGTAACTCAGGCTTAACATTTTCATTCAGCACAGCAAGTTAGCATGTAGACCTGACTAAACACTAGCACAGGGTATTGTCCCCAAGGAAACAAAACTGAAAGGGCATTATTCAGTAAGTTCTCAAAAGTCAGGAATAAGTTTGGGAGGGTTTTTTTAAGATATGTGCACAAAAAGCAAGAATGGAGTGTTTTAATTAATTTTTTTCCATTACAGGTTTCAGGAAGCCCTACCCAATAAGGTGTCAAGCTTTTAATTCAGAACAGGGTGTCTCTGCACTGTGGCTGGATAAACAGTCCTGCCTAGGCCCAGGCCACAGTGGGCTCTTCTATTGCAGCACATTGTGCTGCAGGAAACCTGCTGTGCCATTAGCAACTGAAGCACTGAGATTGGAGCTGAGAGCAAAAATCGTTAACCAACAACCTCAAACTGCTCCTTAAAAGCTAATTTCATGGGTCTGTTCTTCTGAGTGCTAGTGATGCTTCCTCATGCTTTGACAGTAACTGCACAGATTTATCTGAAACACTTGAAATATTAAAATGGATCAGTATTAAAATAAGAAAGGTTATCTAATTAAGCTTTCTTTTCCCCCCTGGAATGTAACCTTTGGGCATTTTCAGTCCAGTTTAGTATTAAGGTAATTACAGTGAGGATCAAACTGAAATAATTCTAAACTTAATCTGCACTTGCAGTGGAATAGAGCTTGCTCCATTATTTTTCTACTGTACTGCAGCAATAAACATCAGAAACTTGTGGAATGCAGCAAAAGTTGTGATGACAGATCACTACAGATCTTCTCTACATTTGATGTAAAATAGATAATTCAGAAAGTTAAACTACCCCTTGATTTTAGATTGGCTGTTACAGCTCGAAGTTTCTTGATGTCACCTTGGGATGTATTTACAGACATGGAAATCAGTGTGGCAGTGGGAAGTTCTAGTAAGCATTCTGAAATTCTGTGGACTGCAGGAAGGATAAGAATTTTACCTGCATGGGGTGGTGTATGAAGTGTCTTTTCTCCCTTTTCTGGGCAAGTAGAACACTTTTTTTCCTATGTTTAAGGAAAAAGAGCAACTCTCCTTGCTCCCTCCAACAAAGTGAGGAATGGTGGTGCTGTTTGTTAGCTCAGGGTGCAGTGGTCAATACTCACCCACCGTTCACAGCTTTCAGCTCTCCTGGATGATCATCTCTTGCAACAGAACACTTCTAGAGTAACTGGGAAAGGTGCAGTCCAAACCTTTGCTGGCTTCAAAAGATTCCTGCAGCTCCAGGCAAAAGACAGCACAAGTTAATTACCAAGGAGCTGCTTTTCAGTATTTAGCATTATACAGCAGCCTGATACCCCACTTAGAGACAGGCTGTGGTATGTGTGTTAGACAAAGTCCACAGAGGTTTCCCCATGGACTCCTCTAAACACAACTGCTACAGAAATTTTTCAGTCATCCATTCATCCCTGCTATATTCACAATACAGAAGGCAGATCACTGGCCTTCATTATGTACTGCAAGGGAAAACACTTGTGCCATACTTAACACCTGTTAACCTGTGGCCTTCAGCAGCACTTGCCAACACTGCAGTTGAATCAGCACACACCTGCACGTGCACAGAGTAGCATCATGCTGTCTGAGCTAGCTAATACACGATGTTTACCACAAAGACAGAAGCATGACAGTTGCCTCACTTCTCTTTCAGATGTGCAGTCACTTCAGTATCTTCTTGTCTTCAGCATCCCAGGGAAGAAACTTGTATATTTGGCTACAGTACAGACCAAAATCTGTGGCCAGAGCACTTCCAGATGGATAGCAGATCTCTAGATACACAAAACACATCACTGTCCTAAACACTGGGCCTGCTTTTTCATGTGCTGTTCTCAGCTCCTCACCAGTGATCATGCTGGGCAACCCAACTACAGCTTCCTACCATCCTGCCAGCACCATGGAAAAACAAGAGATTAAGCTTTCCCCTTTCTTCATAGGAAACCACCTGAGGGCTGGCTCACACCATCACTCCTTTAAGTATTTGGAGAAATGAGCTGAAGCTTAAACCCTGGTATGTCTGTGTTAGCTGGTAAGACAGAATCACAGGGCCAGCATTACTATTTAGCTTACTAACAACAAGTACAGCAGGACTGCTACAACATGAGAGGAGAGAGAAGCTGCAATACCTGGCCATCACAACGTTTGCAAAGAAGCATCAGAGGCTGACATTTAAGGTTTTGGTATTTTGTCACCATGAAACAGGATTGAAACTTTCAGCT